AAGATAAACTTACCTTTAGAAATATCTGTAAGTTTTGTTGTTATATTTTTGTCAACGTCAAGAACTTTCACCATTTCAGTTATACCAACTTTCTTTGCTTTATGGAAATATTTTGGTTCAGCAAATATTGCTATTCTATAACATTTACCATTGTTTGTATAAAGAACTATTCTGTCAATGTATTTGTATTGTTTGTGTGTGTAAACTTTGTTCTGCTTCAATTCGAAGAGATACTCGAATACGTCCATCTTTTTATTCTAAGTAAAATGTCATTTCCGAAAAATAGAAGCGTGAGTGTTTCAAAAGGTTTAATGGCGGTGGCAGATGTGAAGTTAAATTCACCAACTCAAACAAACAGTCAAAGTTATTGTCAATGTCAAAGACAGAGATGTTGAAGTGGGGAAACCATACGAAGACGAAGATGGTATAACAATTGTTCCTGTAAAAGAACCAACATATCCTGAAGTTAGCAGAGACTTAAGTTCTGTTGCAGATATTCGAAACGACTACCAACAACTGAAAGACAACTTCAAACTCAGGAGAAGATTTGTCAGCTTTAGGTATAATGTTAAACTTGGTCGAACACAACCCTGTAAAAGTGAACTCATATGTCATTGCACCTCATGAAGTTTTGAAAGAACTATTGAAACTTTTGACAGAGGCAGACGATATAAACATCAAAGAAATAGAACCGACATTAGTTGCTGTGGTGTTTCATATAATGTCATTGACAAGATATAGTTATGAAAGGAGGTGAAACGTTGAACTTAAAGTATAGTTTCCCAGACGTTATAAAAAATTTGACGACCACAACATTTCATTAAATTTATTTGCTAAGTAAAAATGTCAAAACTTTCTTGAAAGATGTTTGAAGAAAAATAATATAGACTTTATTTCATGTAAAGGACTTTACACACTTTTGAACGATATGAAAGTCCCTGTTTTGTTTGTTCGTGTAGACAAAGGAAAGTTCTATGTCTTTACAAAATATTTGAACTTCTTAGACAGAGAACTTCAAGAAACGCCATGTGAAAGTTTAGATGAAGTTCTTCTCCACTTTCAGAAAAAACTTTTAAATATATATAAATGGCAGAAGATATAATGGTTTATACTTATTACGACTAAAAACCCTGAGTCATATAATTCTATACAACAAACTTACAAAGTCCTCAAGGACGGTATTGTAAACTAACTTTAAACACAATGACGACTAAAGCCTGTTTTGCTCTTTTGACACCAGAAGACTTTATTGTTGTGAATGGTAAAAAATACTCCTTTGAAGATACTTACTCAGATATACCACCAAACAGGTTTTGTTGACTTATTTAATACTTTAAGTACGGGTGTAACATGTGCTGCAACTAGAAGCAGGTTCATTATGTTTGGATGTCCGACTGAGTTACTATAAACGATATGAGCTATAATACAAAACTTATTTCTGGTTTTTACTACCAACAGTTCCTATAACAGGAAAGGTGTCATACAAGGTTTGTCTGTTCCGTTGACTTTAAGTACACCTATTTTATATATTGTTTCAAACTTAGGTTCAAAGTGTTATTCGAATGTCGACAGAAACTATTATGACCAAAAGATACTTATGCGTATAAACAATACTTTCTCTGCTGTTTGCCTATTGTTCATTCGAATGCAGAATTTTCAACCTTAGTGAACTCAAACACTTTGGCAAGTATAACGTTGACATTAGTTGACGCAAACTTTGTTCCTGTAAAACTTTTATGTCCTATGTATTTGTCAATGACGGCAGAAAGTTTCGAATTGGAAGATGCAACTGGTGAAAGTATTGTATTACAAGAACAACTTCAACAACAAATAGCTCAAGAACAACAAATGCAACAAATGCAACAACAAAGTCAAGAATAAAAAAAATATTTTTTTTTATTTTTATAAAAATGTACAGAATAGATGTTTCAGATTTTTATGACTTCCAAGCATTCAGAAATATGTGTCCATTTCGAGACTATAACAAAGCAGTCGAGAATTTGAAACGTTTAGTCATTTATGTCGACTCTGCCCCAGAATGTTATGTTATGAAAGAATGGGATGTAGTCTTAACAAACCAAGAGCAACAATAGTGTCTGAACAAGAATGTAGACAGAAACTTAAGAAAATAAAAGTCGTACAAGTTGGCATGAAGATGTTAGATGCTTGGGATATCTTATTGTCAAAGTTAGAAGATTTTTCAGTTCGTGGTATAAAGTTTTATACACCTTCTCCAAACTTCTATTCTATCTTCACTGGATATAAATACGAACAAGTAGAATGGAAAGAAAATATTATAGAAGCTTGGTTAGACCATGTCAAAGAAATTATATGCAATGGAAACGAAAGAGTCTATGAGTATATCTTATGTTGGTTTGCAAACATCTTACAACATCCAAGTGCTAAAAATGAAACTGCTCTCATTATAATTGGAAAACAAGGAACAGGTAAGAACAAATTCTTTACAGATATCTTATGCAAACTGTTAGAAGGCTATTCGAACCCGAATATGACAAACTTAGAAAACATCTGTGGCAAGTTTAACTCCTCAATAGAGAATATGAAACTTATAGTTTGCAATGAACTTCAAAGTATAGATACAACAAAAGTTTTAAACTCAGATGCTTTGAAGAGTCTTATAACAGATAAAGTTGGAGTTGTTGAAAGAAAATATAAAGACCAAAGAGTTTGTGAAAATGTTGCAAACTTCATTATGGTTTCAAACAATTCTGTTCCGATGAAGTTAGAAAGTTCTGACAGAAGATATGTAGTTGTCAGAACGTCAGATTCTCATATGCAAGATACAGAATATTTTGACGACTTAGCAGAAACTTTGACATCTGACTTTTACAACCACTTGTTCTCATATTTTATGACATTAGATATTTCAAAGTTCAATCCAAGACAAATTCCACATACCGAAGAGAGACAAACATTGTTAGAAGCAAACAAGAGTGTATATGAACTGTTCATAGATGAAACTGACTTTGAGTGTTTAGATGAAAGGTCATTGTACGATTCGTATAAACAATATTGTCAAGAATATGGTTATATGACAGCGTCTAAACGAACATTCTTGGCAAATGTCAAAAGTCTTTTAGACGTACAGAATGGTGTATATACAAAGAAAAATTTTTATGAGTAAATTTTAAAAAAAATATTTTTTATCCGATAGAAAAGATGGCAAAATTCATCTCAGTAAACAAGTACATGTCAGGACTTAAAGAAGAACTAGACCCATTCACATATTTGAATGTTTACTTCTACCATTTTGAAAAGTCTTTATTCAGCAAAGTTTGGAACATCGAACCAGTTAAGTTTGCTATTGTGACTAAAAATGGTGCGAAATTTGAAGACTTAGACATAGAAGGTTTGTTAGCAGTCAAAGAAAGTTTTGACAGAAGGTTTTCAAACCTTAAAGAAGGCAAAGCATACAAACTTGTTATACCTTATGAACCAAAGAAAGCAGACGACTATGAATATTATGAGTCTAAGATAGTTGAAGTTCAAGGTAAATTGGGTAAAAAGATTTTAGAGTCTAAGCCAGTGTTTGCCCCTAAAGAGGAAGAGAACATTGACATTGACCCAGAAATGTTCTAAAAATAAAATTTTATTTTTACATGTCAAATTTCTTTTTCTCTGGAACTGGTTCAGGTTCTTTCTTCTCTTCTTCTACTTTCTTTTCTTTCTTTTCTTTCTTCTTCTTTTCTGGTGGAGTTATGTCAAATTTCTCAGAACCATATTTATGTAAAAGTTCTTTGTCCTTTAATAGCTCTTCTATTCTGTTTTCTATTTCATCTTCAAGAACAGCGCATGTGTCTTCTTTGCATTCTAAGAACTTTTGTTGGACTTCATCTTTCCAATCGGCGTCATCTCTGTCAACAAGTCTGTCATTGACAAATTTTAAGACTGCTCTGCTTAATGTTTTATGGTTCTTGTCATATTCCCAGAAACAGAACTTTAGAACAAATTCACCTTTCTTGTTTACACTATGTAAGATTTTATGGTCGACAGATGTTTTGCTGTCAAAAAGTTTGTCTCGAATATAGATAGCGAAATCGCTAGACATTTTCTAAAAGATAAAAATTTTAATTTTTCTAAAAATATGTTAGAAAAAAAGTTTGCCGACATTGACAAGAAATTTGAGAATGTTTTAAACAAGAACAAGAGGAAGTTAGAAAATGCTCAGATAAAACCTATACATGACAAGTTCTTATTTGCTCAGAATGGTATAACAGGTCTAATTGCACCACCTGGGTCGGGTAAGACTTTCACTTATCTTAAAATGGCTGCACAACAACAAGAACTAGATGAGAAGAACCCATTCTATGAGTTAGTAGTCATTTGTAGTACTTCTGGTCAATTTGACCAAACCGTCAATTCGTTCAAAGATATTATAAAGAAGTCTAAGTTAGTATGTATAAAAGACTCTGAGTTGTTAGATTGGATAAAGAAGTACCAAAGAAGAGTTTTGAAGTATAATGCTATAAATGAGTATATAAATTCTAAGTTCAAAGACCCAAATGAGGAAATGCAGAGAATATTAGAGAAGAAACACTTCAGAAACAAACAGAAAGAGATAGAATACATTTCGAAGAAATTGCAATCTTACGATTGGAAGACTTACCCTCATAGGTGTCTTCTTATCTTAGATGACTTTGCTTCTCATCCTTTGTTAAAGAATAGAGAACAAGATATGTGTCGAATTCTTAAGAAGCTCAGACACTTTAACATCTCAGTTGTCATTTGTGTACAGACGGCAAAGAGTTTAAGTAAGGATGTAAAGAGAATACTTACTGACATTGTACTTTTCCCCGGATTGTCCGAAGACGATTTCATGGAACTTATGAAAGAGTCCATGGCAGGTAAGTTTGACAGACATGAACTATGGGAGAAGTACAAAGTCATACAAGACCCTCATACTTCTTTCAGAATTCATATCTACGCGAACAAAGTTCAAATTGTAAAAAGTCAAGCTTGAAAAATCTAAGTGTTTAGTCTTAGTAAGTCTGTTGTGGTGCTGGGGCTGTCGGTTCTTCTGGCTTTGGAAGGCATTCAGGAAGAGGAACGTCAGTCATCCGTTTGTGTCCTGTCGGAAGGAAAAACTTTTTCTGTCGGAAGGAAAAACTTTTTCTGTCGGAAGGAAAAACTTTTTCTGTCGGAAGGAAAAACTTTTTCTGTCGGAAGGAAAAACTTTTTCTGAAGTTCGACCAAAAAGTTCTCAATTTTCGAAAATTTGAATGGTTTACGGACGGACAACTGGAAAATTTTTTCTTGTCGTCGGGAAAAATTTTTTCTGTCGGAAGGAAAAACTTTTTCTGTCGGAAGGAAAAATTTTTTCTGTCGGAAGGAAGGACTTGGAATGCCAGAAGGATTTGACAAGGCAATTTACCTAATTGAGCTACTTGAGCCATCTGAAGTCAAGCTTGAAAAATAAATGGTTCATCTACCCTACTTGTTTGAAGTTGTCAAAATACTCTGTTATTTTTTCTTTCAGTAGCGGTAAGTCTTCTTTGAAGGTAAAAATTGTACAACCTTTCATATCATAGTGTGTTTGAGGTAAAGTATCTTGAACTATTTGTTTCACATCTTCATTTGGGGTCATTGAAATCGGTAAGTTTTCGCGATAGAACCAATTTCTGTCAGATTTGTAAATCTTAGCAAGGTCGTAAAAGCTTTTGTTGTTTCTTCTGACTAAATGCAACATAACCATATCTTTATCTTCTTCTTTCTCCATATCTTCAGTATAAATCATATACTTATAGTTCTTTTCCTTTCCTTTTGGTACCGAACGTGGTATTCTTTTCTGAATGTTTTTGTCTTTTGCTTCAATGACTTCATCTTTTGCTTCAATGACTTCATCTTTTGCTTGAAGTTTCTTTTCCATCTCTTCACGTTCTTGTCTATGAATTTCGTCAAGAAGTCTGTAAACATGCCATGCATAACGAGGAGAAGCCCACATTGCAACTGCATTTACTAAAAGTCTATGTACATAATATCCTCTTAAATTTATTGGCAAATTTTTACGATTTTCATGTGTTTTATGCATGGCCGAAAAAAGTCGGTCTAGAGAAATTTCACTCAAAAGTTCTTGTGTGCTTTGGTTTTTGAACCAGTCGTCTGCGTGTTTAGTGTCTGGAGCAAAACATGCTGTCAAAATACTTTGCATTTGGTACATATCGTCTTTGACCGAACGAATGAGACGGAGTTGTTTGTTAAACTGAACCCACTCATATTCTTCATTTATGGCTTCATGGACTATAACTGTTGTTGTGTTCTCTGTTGTTGACATATCTGTCTTTACATACAAAATAAAAAAATATTTTATAAAAAAATTAGCGTTATTTTTTCTATCTTAAGGAAATTCATGATTTTCATGAGTTTTGGCGACCCAGATAAAAGTCGGTCTAGAGAAATTTCACTGTTTTCATAGAGTTTTGGCGACTGGGGTTTCTTACCTACTCGCTGTTCTTCACTGTTTTCATACGGAATTCAGCAAAAATATAATTTAGGTGAAGAGGTGCGATCTCACCTGTTTTTTCACCTGTTTTTTCACAAGCGTTTTACATGGTAAACGTTATTTTTACATTATGACACGAAGTGAAGAGTAACACTTCGTCAAAAAAATCCCTGAAATCATATCTTACATACAAAAAAATACAAAAAAATGACACTAACTTTATTTTCTGACTTTCACAAAAGACCAAAAATAAACGCTTTACATGTATTTTTCAGCAACTTCGTCAAATAATTTTATAGCTTTATCTATCTCATCTACTTCAAACGTTTCTTTACCTTTTATGGGAGCACCATACATTTTCTCAAACTTTTCAAGTAGTTCTGTTTCTGCAGCTCTCATATCATTAACTAACACAACCTTGACTCTATTGACTGTAGAGTCATATCTTAGAGTTATATTATATGTTCTTCCTATCTTATATCTTTTTGTGTTGAAGGCCTTCGGTTTCTGAACGATGTAAAGTAAGCCTTCACTGCAACGTTCCGTATCGAATGAACCATATGTTATGAAGTTATATCCAACAACTGGGTCTAACCATAACAAAACTATTGGTATAAGACTTTTATCTATAAGATATGCTGTAGTTCCATAGAATCTTACCGATATTAAAAGCTCAGGATTTCTTGTCAAAATTTTCTGAGTAGAAGCAATTTTAACCCAGTCCTTCGGTCTCTTTCCAGATGGAGATATAATGTCTGACAAAGAATATTTGTTGTATTTCTTTGAGTATCTTACGTTTAAATCACCAATTCTAACCACTTTGGTGTCATTGTCTATCTTTCCAACTGTTTCAAACTCAATGTTTGACATATCTTTCTTTAAGTCTGCATAGTCGTTTCTCATATGTTCTATCTCTTTGACGGAGTAGTTATATTTCCTCATTGCTGCCTTACATTTTGAACATTGCGGGTTCATTTTTGCGTTATATTCTGAAACCTTACCTGCTAAAACAACTAAAGCGTCAATGGTTTTCTTCATCTCAAAAGCTGCTGGTTTTATCTGTTTGTTCCATACCTTCCCTCTTCTATCTTTATCTCTTATCTGCCATACACATTCAGCAACTAACGAAACAAAGTTGTCGTAGGTCTTAAATTCTTCAGATTTATATATGTCAGAAACATTCTTATATACCATGTCGCAATCTTTGTCCATAACCTTATGGTTGCAATGAAATCCTAGAAACTCATAGTTTACCTTACGAATGAACTTCTTTATTTCTACTGAGTCAGTTGCTTTGACTTCAATTTCGTCAAATTCAGGAATGGTTAGTTTTTGTTGCTGAATTTCAGGCAATTTGGGTAAATGGTCGATGAGGTCCTGCATTTCATAAAGATACTGTTCATTTGTTTCATCTTTCGCACTACAGTCTAAATTACATGTTAAAAGTTCTTGCTTTATCTTCTGGATTTCTGTTTCGAAAGTATATGAAGAAGGAATGAAGCTTTTCATCTCTACTAACATTGACGTAGGATTCATGACTAACGAGTTTGGTGCTGTAGTTGTTTGAAGTGTTGTTGTGCCGATTGTTGACATTTTATTTTTTTATACAAAATAAAAAAAAAATAAAAAAAATAAAACTAACTTTATTTTTTATTTCGGGAAAATTCATGAAAATTCAAGAGGTGAAAAAAAGAGGTGAAAAAACAGGTGAGATCGCACCACTTCACCTAAACATTATTTTTGTCTGATTTACACTCATTACGATGAAGAAGTCTTGACAAAACATGTACGTTCATGTTTGACAAAACATTTACGAAGAAGTCTTGACAAAGCATGTACGTTCATGTTTGACAAAACATTTACGAAGAAGTCTTGACAAAACATTTACGTTCATGTTTGACAAAACATTTACGAAGAAGTCTTGACAAAACATTTACGTTCATGTTTGACAAAACATTTACGAAGAAGTCATGACAAAACATGTACGTTCATTACGAAGAAGTCATGACAAAACATTTACGAAGAAGTTTTGACAAAACATTTACGATGAAATCATGACAAAACATTTACGAAGAAGTTTTGACAAAACATTTACGCTCATTACGATGAAGAAGTCTTGACAAAACATGTACGTTCATGTTTGACAAAGCATGTACGTTCATGTTTGACAAAACATTTACGAAGAAGTCTTGACAAAACATGTACGTTCATGTTTGACAAAACATTTACGAAGAAGTCTTGACAAAGCATGTACGATGAAGTCTTGACAAAACATTTACGAAGAAGTCATGAAAATTCAAGAGGGTGAAAAAAATGACACTTTTTTCATTAGATAACTGTTATTTTTTGACGAAGTGAAGAGTAACACTTCGTCAAAAAAATCCCTGAAATCATATCTAACATACAAAATAAAAAAATAAAATGACACTTTTTCATTAGATAACTGTTATTTTTTGACGAAGTGAAGAGTAACACTTCGTCAAAAAAATCCCTGAAATCATATCTAACATACAAAATAAAAAAATAAAATGACACTTTTTCATTAGATAACTGTTATTTTTTGACGAAGTGAAGAGTAACACTTCGTCAAAAAAATCCCTGAAATCATATCTAACATACAAAATAAAAAAATAAAATGACACTTTTTCATTAGATAACTGTTATTTTTTGACGAAGTGAAGAGTAACACTTCGTCAAAAAAATCCCTGAAATCATATCTAACATACAAAATAAAAAAATAAAATGACACTTTTTCATTAGATAACTGTTATTTTTTGACGAAGTGAAGAGTAACACTTCGTCAAAAAAATCCCTGAATCATATCTAACATACAAAATAAAAAAATAAAATGACACTTTTTCATTAGATAACTGTTATTTTTTGACGAAGTGAAGAGTAACACTTCGTCAAAAAAATCCCTGAAATCATATCTAACATACAAAAAAATACAAAATAAAACTAACTTTATTTTTTCTATCTTAAGGAAATTCATGAAAATTCATGAGGTGAAATGAGGGTAGAAAAGAGGTTAGATCTAACCTTCTACCCTAAATTATATTTTTGGGTCCTTTACACTCATTACGATGAAGAAGTCTTGACAAAACATTTACGAAGAAGTCTTGACAAAACATTTACGAAGAAATCATGAAAATTCAAGAGGGTAGAAAAGAGGTTAGATCTAACCTTCTACCCTAAATTATATTTTTTGGTCCGGGAACAACTTTCTCTCAATAGGGGCTGTAGCGTACTCTTTGCGTAAACGGTTCAGACCTTCTTCGAACTCTTGGTCTCTCTTCGATTTGGATTGAGATTGGAATTGCTGAGGTGGAGCTTGCTGGAACATCCAAGGGTTGGGGAAGTAAGGCATAGGCAGAGGAGGGTAGTTCGGGAAGCCTTGTGGTGGGTAGTAACCTTGAGGTGGAAATTGGTAGTAAATCGGAGTACTTGCTGGAACTGAGGTGCAGGGGCTGGTGCTTTAGGTTCCTCTGGTTTGGGAATGGACTGGGTTGGTGGTACGTCGGACATTGTTCTGAAACAGTACAAATATTGTTCTGAAACAGTACAAATATTGTTCTGAAACAGTACAAATATTGTTCTGAAACAGTACAAATATTGTTCTGAAGCAGTACAAATATTGTTCTGAAACAGTACAAATATTGTTCTGAAACAGTACAAGTATTGTTCTGAAAAAGTACAAGTATTGTTCTGAAAAAGTACAAGTATTGTTCTGAAACAGAAAATTTTTCTCACAAATTGAGAGCTTTTACGGGAAATTTGTTCTGAAAAAGGACAAGTATTGTTCTGAAAAAGTACAAGACTAGTTCTGAAACAGTACAAGACTAGTTCTGAAACAGTACAAGTATTGTTCTGAAAAAGTACAAGACTAGTTCTGAAACAGAACAATGGACAACATCGAGCCATTAGATGAGGCAATTTACCTTATAGAGATAAATGAAGTTGTTAAGCAGTACTTGGGCAAGGACAAAGCCAACAAGTCCCTCGGCTTCTGGTTGTCTGGAAGGGCTGCCTTGAATCTCGAGATTTCGACTGGAATTCCAATTCAAATACCAGAAAACACTCCTTTCGACGACATAAAGGAGATGAAGAAAGAAGCCATTATAAAGTTCTTTGCCAAGCGTCCTTGGATACTACTTCCAAACAGAGAGAGTCCAATTCCATGAATTATACAAATTCTCAGAGCACTGTTCCACTTCTCGGGTCAACCATTCTACATAACCTGTGAAGGCGACATCCAACCAGTTCAGTAAACCTTAACGTTTAACTTCACTTTTTTATGTTTTTTGTGAAAGTGTCAAAAATAAATTGTTTTCATGAGTTTTCTACGATGTTAGAAAAAATGTTAGAAAACATGTTAGATCTAACATGCTAACATAAACATTATTTTTCAATACTTTTTCAGCACTTTTCCGTAGTTATATATGAAAGACAATTCGAGATAAAAGTCATAGTACAATGGAATAATATGTTGCACACCATTTGTTGTGAACCAAACTTGAAAGTCAGAGAAACTGTTACTAGGTGGTTCGTAGAATTTAGAAGCAAAGTCATAAAAGTCCTTACCAATACATAGAAAACTATTGTTGCTTGAACTGAAACTTGCATGACACATAACATTTTGAGGGTCAAACACGTTTCTATAACTGTCAAATCTGCTGGTGGAAGTATAAATTGAAATGGACCATCTGGTGGGAATGGGTCGTTCTGGTTTAGTAACCGAAGAAATTGTGCCCAAGAACGTTTGTCTACTTTCCAAAATAAAAAACTCTGTATCTCTTGGAGGGTTAATTTCAATCTTTTGAAATGAAACGGTGGAGTTCATCTTGTCATATTCTAGTTTCAGATAGTATGTTCCATTTAGTAAAGAGTCGTATTTTTCTTGAAATTCCCAATAATATTTGTTCATTTGAGTTTGAAAAGTCATTTAGAGTTTCTCAAGACTTTCGTCTGAACGAACTGTAAAGATTCTCATTTCGTCAAATTTGTCTATTAGACCATCAGAACCTATACTGCCCATGAAAATATACTGCGAACATAAATGCGTTAGTTCTATTTGAACAACAAAACTCTTCTAAATGCTATTGCCTTTGCATCTGAAGGACTTTGAAGCCAACGAATTGGATAGTCAAACCGGTATGTCGGATGAAATTTCTTCATCTGAAATAGTCCTACCAGCATTTGTAAAGATATAGTCTAACGGTTTTGTATCTGCTACTTTTGTTCTTTGTTTTTCAGCCTGAAGCATTTAATATATGTAAAAAATATATTGTTTTAAAAATTGTATGCCATTTCATATTTCTCATCTAAAAACAAGTTTCCCAACTCTGCTTTTATTCTAGCAGACTGCTGCCTTTTATTCTAGCAGATTTTCTATCCATTCTTATGGGGCATTTTTATAAAAATAAAAAAATATTTTTTTCTTTACTTAACATAACCGCCTGCTGCCATAAGTCTTTGACGCCAACCCATACCAGCTAATGAAAGGTTGACTTGGTTTAGTTTCCAAACTAAACTTTGGTTTTGGTTTATCTTCAGTTTTTGTTTTTTCTTCTTCTATCGGTTTTTCGTCACTTTTCGGTTTCTCTGACTTTAACTTCACTTGCAGGAACAGTTGTGTCGTCAACATCTTCATATAAATATCATATGCCATTTGTTTTTGTTTTCCTTTCAACTTTTTGTGTTTGTTGTAAAGTTTAGAATATTTTCGACTTTAAGTCAATGAGATGTTCTATAATGAACTGTTGGTCAGTGAAGTAAACTTTTCCATCTGTTGTCTCGAAAGCTCCTTCAGACTTCAATATTTTATTTTGTGAGAGTCTGTTTCTTTTTTGAGATACTAGCCGTTCCATTTTTATGAAAAGTGACTTTGTAGTTAGGGTTTGTATTTCCAGACCTGGCACTTTCTATTATTGAATTTTTCTCTTCATCTGTAAGTTCTTTGACAGGTTTTGACAATGGGTCTGAACTTTTTGTTTGTGGTGTCAAATCTACCGTTTCAACTTCTTCGGTCATTTCATCTCAGTAAAAAATTTTAGTTTGGTTTGTTTTCAACTGGTTGTTGTTGTTTTTTAAATCGGTCTAAAACTTCCTGAGGTATAGGAAGAACTTGACAAACACGTTGTGTAACTGCTGGAAGCCGACAAATCCATCTTGAACCCATTTGTCTCAATGCTGTATTGTTCATTTCATCTCAGTAAAAAAACTTTACATTCCCCACGTTTGAGGCGGTTGAGGTTGGTTATTGTTTACCCATTGTTGTGCATGGTTATATCCTCTGTAAAGAATCTTTCACCTTGGTCCATATAGTGTCCTGCTTGGTTATAGTAGTCATTTGCTTTGTTATAATAGTTTCCTGCTTGTCTTCCTACATTGTCCATCCATCCTTGAACTTTTCCTCTTGTTTCAGGATTTGGAATAAGATTTGTTGCATCTCGTGCTACATCCCAACCTTTCTGTACAGTTTTGTATAATAGGTTGTGCTTTCTCTTTAAGTATACCTAATGTACTCAAAATCTTCCTTCCAACTCCAAATACACCTCTGGCTATTGTTCCCACTGCGGGCAAATCTGGATGCA